CCTGCCTGTTCCCCCCCCAGCCCCCCGCTGCACACGCTGATATGGGGGCAGGGGCCATGGGGGTAGCCTGGGGGTAGAGGAGCAGGGCTGGTAGAAGGTGTTGGCAGAGGGTTGGGGTGTCTCAGTCACTGAGGCTTGTCCTGTGCAGCTGGTAGTGAGGAGCCCAGAGCGCGCCACACCGAGTGCGCCCTGGTCTGGCTGTGGGGCTTGGAGCTGAGCTGGCTGGTGGGCACTGAGGTCTTTTGGCTGCTACCCTTAGCAGTTGCCCCTTTAGCCACCCAAGGGGTAGTACGCTCGCTGGGTTTGGTGCCCTGCTCATTGCCTAATCAGGGCAGGGTGCTGTAGGGTCTGGGAATGCCCAGATGGGCAGGGCAGGATACACAGGGGGGCCAGGGCCTGGGGACTGCCCGCTGAGGTCCCTGGGGCTGGAGGTGCCTGGGGCTGACTTGGCAGCAGGGCTGTGAGGTTGGAACTGCCATGAGGATGTGTTGACAGGCTCGAGGTCTCACCCTGCTGTTCTGGGGCTGCCTCCATTGCCCCAGCTATGGCTGCTGCCTGCAGTACAGCCAGGCTGTGACTCCACTGGGGCAGTGGCAGGGTGGGGTAGCACCGCATGGCTGGCTGGGGGCACCTGCAGCGGAGGGTGCCCAGCCCTGCTCCATGCCCAGCACAGCATGAGCCCCACGTGCTGCAGGGCAGAATCATGGCTTCCTTTTTTCCGAGCAGCCCGCAGTTCTTGGGACAGTGGGGAGTAGCGGTGCCACTTCCAGGAACTGCTGTGCCGACTCTGCGCATGCAGCAGGCTCCTTGGCCCTCACCACCAGCCGCCCCTTACCAGCAAGCGGGGGAGTGGCCCTGACTGTGGTCACATGTCCCCCACAGCATTTCCCTGCAGCATCAGGCAAGCCAGGGCCCTCTGCTCACATGCTGTGGTGGGTGAGGAGCACTGCTGGCACACATGAGGAAATGTGCTGTGGGGGCATTCCCAGTGCAGGGCTGTGCACCCAGGCCAGCCTATGAAGGATGCCTCAGCCCCGTGCCCTGTGTGCCCCAGGCTCAGGGGAACAGGCGCAGGCTGGGCAGGGTGAGGCAGGGCCCAGCTATGCAGTGGGCCAGGCCCGGGCCAGGGAACCTGGTGTTGTGCCGAGGGACTTGATAAGGAGAACCTCTCCCCTACTCCCCCCACAATACCTGTCCTCATTTCCCGTCATCACAGCAGCAGTGCCACCTGGTGGGCAGCTGGGTCCCTGGCGCTGGGACTGCCCCTCTCTGCTCCTGCCCTGACCCCTTCTCTCTGCTCCCAGGTTTGTCTGACTGCGCTCCTTGTGGTGACAGGCAGCAGGTCTGAGCCCCCAGGTCCCAGGTGGCCTCATGCTTATGAGCACCGTGACAAGCTGAGGACGGAGAGGAGCCCACTGGAGCAGGCTTCTAAGCTCTCTTGCCCGGATGATCAGGTGCAGCCTCGAGGCACCCAGCACTGCTGCCAAATGTGCCCATCAGGTGAGGCTTTCTACTCACAGGGGGTAAAGACCTGAGGGGTCTGGGAGGGCTGCAGCACCTTGCTTTGTGCCAGCTACCTGAGGGGCATGGGGGCTGCAGCCGTGATGGAGCTGGGCTGCAGAATCATCCTGTCGGGCAGCAGGGAACTCAGGGAGAGTGCACAAGGGGTTTGCCCAAGATCCCACGAGCAGCTGAGAAGGAACCCAGGCATCCAGACACCCAGGCTGGGGCTTTAACCACTGCAACTGGCCTCCCCTGCACATAAAGAGGGGTGGAGGTGGGAGCAGAGACTGGATCCAGCCCAATGGAAGCAGAGCAGTGCTGGGCTCTGAAGTCCTTAGCTGGGGAATCCCTGCTCCCTGAGCAGGCCTGGCCAGGCTCTGGGCTTGCCTGCTGGACCCTGCCTGTAAACCAGCTGGGGTCCAGTAGCACACTGCCAGCTGCTGCTGTTTGCATAGGGACATTCATGGAGTCCCCCTGTGCCCACGCCGGTGAGAAGCCTACCTGCAGGCACTGCCCCACTGGCACCTTCCTCTCTGCCTGCAACACCATGCATGAGTGCCACGCCTGCTCTGAGTGCGATGCCCAAGGTAGGAGGCTGCCTGAGCAAAGGCACTGGCCAGGCTGGGAGAGCAGCCAGGCCAGGCCTCTGTGCTGGTGGGTGGTGGCATGTGGGGACATGTGCTACCCTGCTTGCCGGGCATGGCCCCCTCCCTGCCCCTGCCCCTGCCCCTGCTCCTGCCCTATGCGCTAAGCCTGCCTGCATTCAGTTTCCCAGGTCGTGCTGAAGAACTGTACAGCCACCAGCAACGTGGAGTGTGGCTGCCGGCCGGGCTACTTCCAGCAGTGCAGCCAGCATTCCTGTGAGGACTTCACCTGCACACAGTGTCGCCAGTGCCGGGGCAGATCCACTCGCCGCAACTGTGAGTACCTTAGCTGCCCCTGAGCGCCCACACTATCTCCTGCCCTTCCCCGCTGGCCTCCTGGCTGTGCTGTTGGAGTAACACTGCCTGCAGTGAACCCAGCAGCACTGCATCAGAAGCCGCAGCAGCAGGAGCAGCCGCTCCTGGCATGTGGCAAGTGTGTTGCCACAGCCCTGCTGTGTGACAAAACACTCCTTCTGCCATGGCCCTGGCCTGGCTCAGCCTGCAGGTGGTAACAGATGCCATTGCTTTCAGGTTCATCCAGGGAGGACACACAGTGTGGGGACTGCCAGCCTGGCTTCTTCCTGGAGGGCAGCGAGTGCCAGCCCTGTGCCAGGTAAATCCCAGGCTCTTGTCTTCCTTCCTGCCCCAATACCTAGGTAGCTTGCTCCACTCCCTGACTCATGCACCACCTGGCAGGACACTGTTCCAGGGGCTGAGAGTACTTTAGCCTCCTGTGATGCATTCATCCCCTTCATGGAGGCAGGAGCTGGGCTGGCCTTGGTGGTCCCCTGTGTCTAAACAGGCATGGGGCAGGTGTTTGCATGCCTGTGCATCTGTGTGTGTGCGTACGCTGGTGGGAGGGTCCCTGTGGGCTGGTGTACTCTCCCCCTGCGCAGGCCATGCCATGGAGCAGGCATGCCCTCAGGCCAAGTGGGGAGCTGCCCACAATGCTTGCCTTCACCATTTTTTTTCCAGCAAGGGCCTCGAGTGGTGTGGTGACAGCTGTGAGAAGACATGTGGCAACCCCAACATGCCTGCAGGTATGTGGGGTATGGAGACCAGGGGTAGGGAGGTGCCTAGGCCTCATTGGAGCTCACGGGCCCCAAACATGCCCTAAGGTGCCATGGGGTATGAGACCAGCAGTATCCTTGCAGGAAGCCTGGGCAGAACAGCTCCTGCCTCCATCTGCAGCCAGGTGCGTGAGGACTGGCCCAGCACAGGGGCAGTCCCATGGTCTGGGGCATAAAGTAGGCAGCTGGGCCCTCTGGACACCCTTTCCCATGGCTCATTGCAGGAACCGGCCTGGAGTACCTCTTGCTATGCCTCATTGGGCCCCTCCTCCTGGGAGCTCTTGTCGCCTACCACAAGAGGAGGCAGCTTAGCCAGGACACCTTGAGCACTGGTAACCCTCCCATGCTGAGCTGGCAGCCTCCCTTTGGGACTGAGCTCTGGAGCTGGCCAGGTGGCCATGCCCAAGGGCAGGGCAGGGCATGGTTGTTCATCCACTGACTTCTGCTTCTTTCCCCAACAGATGAGGCTGCAGTTCGAGACTTGATGCTGCGGAAGGTGAGAGTCCATGGGAGCCTGGTGCCTCTGGCCTGGGCCCTGCCCCTTCCTGCCTTGCCCATGCATGGTATGGGTATGTGGCCACCCAAGTAGGTTCCCTGCTGCACACCCCTGCCATGCCCTGCCCCATAGGTCTCATAGGGCTCCTTGGCTCTAGCCTTGCCTCCCAGCCCCTGCCCTCCTGGCCAGTGAGGAAACTCTGCTGTTCCTCCTGTCTCCCCCTGGCTAGTAGTGGCTCTCAACCCCAGGTGTTTCTAAGTGTCAGGACTGGCCTCTTTGTGGTCACGGCTTTCTTCAGACAGGCTGCTCTCTCCTGCCCCAGGCTGAGCCACCGTGTTTGCCTGATGCCACAGCCCCAAGGCTGGAGTCCCAGAACCTGCTCCAGCTGAACCTAACAGAGTCACTGCAGATGAATGGTGTTGCCTGGGCCGCTAGCGCCTCCTGCAGCTTGTCCTCCAAGGAGCCCCGCCAGGATGCACCAAGTAAGCAGTGCCCTCACATCCCCTGCATGGCCCACACCTCTCCCTGCTGCCTGATGGATGGTCTGCGCACTGACCCCCACCTGCTGTCCCTCAGGCCCCCCACGTGGCAACGTGCTGCAGCAGGGCAGCCAGCTGTATGACATCATTGATGCAGTACCTGTGCGGCGCTGGAAGGAGTTCATGCGGGTGCTGGAGCTGCGGGATGCTGAGATTGAAGTGGTGGAGATGGAGTTCACCCATGTCCGGGACCAGCAGTATGAGATGCTGAAGCGCTGGTGCCAGCAGCGGCAAGCCACGCCCAATGCTGTCATCCATGCCCTGGAGCGCATGGAGCTGTCTGGGTGTGCTGAGGAGCTCCGGCATCGGCTTCAGTGCTGCTCGTGAGCCAGTGCCCAGCCCATCACCCTTAAGTGACAGAGCCAGCCTGGACGTGAGGGCCTGGGCAGCACATTGATAGAAAGGACTTGCCTTCCTGCCTTCCTGGCATTAGCTGGACCAGGAGGCCCTGGCTTCCCCTCGCAGCAGGTGTTGGTGCTCTGCACTGTGTTGTGAAAAAGGCTCATGGCACAGCCAAGCCTGTGGCAGCCCCTCAACACTGCAAGAGCAAGAGGCATGCAGGGAAGCACAGCATAGCCTGCTCCCTGCCCTGGCCTTCCCAGAGACTTCAGCTCCAACTCTATAAACACTAGGACCACAGGAGCCCAGACCCTGCTCATTTGCCCCCTGGACACAATGGTCCCTGGGGCCTCAGGGCTCACACACACCTGTGCCAGCTACCTTGGCATTTTGGCCTGCCTCATTAGCCCTAAGCTATGCCAGTGAACCCTTGGGCATGCTCAGCTAGCTGCACAGGGCCTGGTTCAGCACAGGGGCTTTGCCCCAGGTGCTCCCATCACCGACAGAGGCAAATGTGCCTCACTGCTAGTGATGAAGCATAGGCAGGGTGAGTTTCCCAGTCATGGGGGTGTTTGATGAGAGCTCCATCTGCCACAGGCCACTCAGGAGGTTGCTGGGGCGTGGGAGAGACCTGTGGCTCTCCCATATTGCTGGAAGTGGCGCTCA